GGGGCTGAGGCGGGGTGGGGGCTGGAACCCCTCCCCGCAGGAGTGCCATCTGGGTCTTCCATCTAGAACTGTTTACATGAAGATTCTCACTGTTCATGAATACACTTGATGTTCAAGTATTAAGACCTATGCAATATTTTTTACTTTTCTAATAAACATGTTTGTTAAAACAATTGGCTGAGTCTCTCGTCAGTGCCCTGAGAGGAAGAGGAGGGGCACTGGGTGCTGCCTCAGCCCCTGGGGTTCCCCTGTGTGCTCCTGGGGCTCTCTCCAGGGCTGCCTGCCAGGCTGGGAAGAGCCGTGTGGACTGTGCTCCGTGCCAGGCAGCTCGGCTCCTGGCGCTCTGTGTGAGTGAGGCTACCAGGGAATGTGCTGGAAAGTACCTGAAGGGGAGAGGTGAGTCAGCCCAGCAGGCCCAGTGGGGAGAGCCACCTTGTTGCCCAGGTGTGAGCCCCCCCCCCCCCCCCGCCAAGTCCGCTGTCCCTACAGGCAGTGTAGGTAGGGGAAACTTGGGTTTCTCTCTGTGTGAGAAGGCAAGTTTTATTTGTTAAGCAATCATGAAAATTAGAAGTTTTACCTCTAGATACAAAAGGTCTAGCTCACCAATCTTGATAAGACAGACCTCCCTACACACACAACACACCCCACACATCCCGTACCCCCACACACATCCCCCATACATATCCCACACCTCCCCCAAGACATCACACATATTCCCCACACATATCCCCCCCAGAGACCCCCAACACACACCCCTACACCACACATATCCCCCCCATACCACACACACACACCCCACATACACCCTGGCGGGCTTTTCGCAGATGCCCTTGCTGACCTAGACTCACTGCACTGCCTGGGCCCCGATTTCCTTATCATGGCCAAGCCCTTCCCTCTGCTCCCTGTCAGGTCCACCCACACCAACTAGCCTGTGCAGAGAGCTGTTATCTCCCTTGTTTTCTCTTCCTGGTCCCAGACAGGTCTTGTTTGCTCAAGGCTGTAAAACAGTGGTTCTTCCACTTGAGGATGGAGTCGGATCGCCTGGGGCCCTGGCTCCCAGTGGAGACCCTGGGTGCAGGCTGGGCAGGGTCTGGGAGCCAGCATCCCCCTTGGGGTTCTGACGGCTCAGAGGACCTACAAACTTGAGTTGGAGGGCAACTGGAACTTGGATGATGGGGTGGGCCTTTGTTGCAGTGTGTAGGACTGTGGGCCACCCCTATCCCATATCAGAATGCTTGGGTTCAAGTCCCAGCCCTGCTTCCACGTCTAGCTCCCTGCTAATGTACATCTTGGGAGGCAGCTGGGATGACTCAAGTCCTTGGATCCCTGCCATCCATGTGGGAGAACCAAATGGAGTGCCAGGCTCCTGGCATTGCCCTGGCTCACCCTGGCTGCTGTGGGCATTTGCGGTGTGAACCAGCAGATGGAAGATCCTGCCTCTGTCCTTCTGCCTTCCAAATAGATATAATTAAAACAAAATGGAGGGGCTGGCATCATGGTGCCATGGATTAGGCTGACACCTGTGATGCCAGCGTCTCATATCAGGGTGCCCGTTTGAGTCCTGGTTGTTCTGCTTCCCATCCAGCTTCCTGCTAATGTGCCTGGGAAATCAGGGGCTGATGGCCTAAGTACTCGGGAGTACTAGAGTCCCTGACTTCTGCTTGGCCCAATCCGGACTGCTGAAGGCATTTGGGGAGTGAACCAGTGGATGGAACATCTCTTTCTCTCTCTCTGTCTCCCCCACCCCCTTTGCTCTGTCTTTCAAATAAATAAATATTAAAAAAACAAACAAACAAAGAGAATGGAGGTTGACAACAAAGGGACCTAGAGCATAGTTTTAGGAAGCCCTCCACCCCTTTGGTTAGCACATCCTCCTAATTGGCACGCTGGGCGAGTGGGGGTGAGGCAGGGGTTTGTAATGTTTCCCAGATTAGCAAAGAGAGGCCCAAGCCTGTGAATGCCCATTTTCTTGGACCAGGGCTGACCTGTCCACGCCCAGCTTCTCAGGCTCTGGGAGGGGAGAGAGTGGGCGGTGCTGGGAGGACAGTTTTCCAGGCCCTGAGATCTGCACCGGCACACACAACCCTGCTTGCCTGATCCCAGAAGAGGAGCAAAGACAGCCATGGCCTGGCTCCAAATTTGGAGCCTAGAGCTGGGCAGCTCAGGAAGCAGTAAGCTCTCTCCATGCCAACAAGGCTGCTGAGCAAGGCCTGGGCCCACAGGACCTGACAATCCCCACTAGCAGGCCAGGGGCCCCCGAGGGACAACCCTATTGCTTGGGTTTCACAAGAAGGGGAAGAGGCTTGCGGAGGGCCAAGCCAGTTCCGGGTCCCCAGGCCTTCTGTGGTGTGGCAGGGAGCTCTGGCCCAGCAGTCGGGCTCCCTAGGAGAAGGTGGGGTGGGTTGCTTTGTGGCTAAGCCAAAGAGCCAACAGCTTATAAAGACTTACACATAAAATCCAACTTTGGAAAATGCTTTCGGAAATGGTTCTATTTGGCCTGTAAAATTTGTTTTGGGGGCCGGCACTGTGGCAGAGCAAGTAAAGCTGCCACCTGCAGTGCCGGCATCCCATATGGGCACCTGTTCGAGCCCCGGCTGCTCCACTTCCGATCCAGCTCTCTGCTATGGCCGGGAAAGTAGTGGAGGATGGCCCAAGTCCTTGGGCCCCTGCACCCATATCAGGGACCTGGAGGAAGTTCAACTCCAGCCATTGTGGCCACTTGGGGAGTGAGCTGGTAGATGGAGGACCTCTCTCTCTCTCTGCCTCTGCCTCTCTATAACTCTGCCTTTCAAATAAAATAAATGAATCTTTAAAATTTTTTTTTTCATTTTGCTCACCTCTCTTTGTGTAGGATTCCCTCTCTGATTCTTACCTCCTCTGGCCACTGCACTGGAACCTGCAGTGGCTCCCTATGGCCAGATTCCAGGGTCACCTTGCAAGACCTTTGTTGCTGGGCCCTGGTCTGCTTCCCAGGCTCACCTCCCACCACTGCCCTTACTGTGGCTCTGGTCAGCATGGTCCACCCACTTCTCTCACCCCAGACTCTGTTCCTTCTGATGGAGCCAGCAGGATGTCAGCCTCTCTGTTTTCTTGCAAACACTGCCCTTCCACGAAGGCCCAAGCAAGCTCCAGCCTTTTAAGTTCCCCCTCTGTCTCCCAGTGTCTACAATCCGTGCTAAAACCTCCCAGCTCTCTGCACGTCCCAGCTCCATGGCTCAGCCCATGGTTCCCCTTGGGCCTGGCAGACGGTGGTCATGTGAGTATTGGCCTGCTGATCCCCCAGGCACCCTCTTTCCTGAGGCTCAGGGAACCCCAAAACCCCCGGCTGGAGAGAGAAGAGGGCAGAGTACGAACTTGTGTTTGATGCCACTGCCCACTCACAGCGAGAGTCAAGAGTGACATCCTTTGTAGCTAGGGCCACCGGCATTGGACTTAGTGAAAACCAGGTTCGAGTCTGGGCTCTAACATTTCCTAACCAATGACCTGGAACAAGTCAGGTCACTTCTTTAAGCTTCAGTTTTCTCATATGTAAAATGCAGATAGCAGCAAGGAGAAGACATGACTGGGGCTCCCTGCGGCCAGAGGCAGAGGCCATCAGTGGCTGGGTGGGTGGTGGGGTCTGGGCTGTGGTGAGCCTGGCAGAGAGCAGGCACCTCTAACAGATCACCTTTCGACTCCTTTCCTCTAGGCCTGAGTTTCTCTACCATTTCCACAGAGCCACTGCCTCTGCAATATCTTGTCCACACACGGCCCTACCAAGTGCTTGTCAAAACCCCACATTGGGGGTACATGCTGCTAAAGCTGTTTTCTGCTCTAAGCCCAGCACACATTAAGCACCGTCTAGAAGCTTCTGTCAATTCCATCTTGTGGTTCGAAAGGAAACACCAAGGCCTGGGATGGCTCACTGAGCAGGGCTGCAGGGGTGAGACAGGAAGTGTGGTCTCCCACGCCCAAAGCCCTCCTGCTCCCCAGCTGGGGGGTGGGCTCCAGGTCAGCCACACCCTGCTTTTGCTATCATGGGGAGCCCCAGGGAAAGCCTGAAGAAACTGGGGGCACAAAAGCCAGGCCCAGCTAGCAAGATCCTGAAGGAGGCCTCTTGATAAGGAATCACAAATGGGACAGCAGGCCCTTAAGCCCAGACTCTGAGTCAGTGCAGCTCCCCCTCCAAGGTGGCTCCACCTCCGTCACACCTGTGAGCAGCTTCATAGGCCTGCCGCAGCCACAGGTGCAGCCAGGGGCCATGCTGAAGGTCCTGAAGGGGTGTGTGTGTGTGTGTGTGTGTGTGTGGTGGGGGTGGGGGGTGGATGATTGCACTCACTGGCCCACCCACCCATCCTATGCATGATAAATAGGTCCCCAGGCCTGAGAAGAGGATTTCAGGATTCTCTTATCTCATGCCTAATCATCGCCCAGGAATTCACAGGCACAACTATGGGGTATAAACAAAAGAGGAAATGGGCTATCCCTAACTTCTCAAGGAAGAAATTCCAACACTATAGAGTGACTAGAAGAACAGAAATGGGGGCTAGCCTTGCAGCCGGCAGCAGGTTACTATGCCACCTGCGACTGCACCAGCATCCTATACTGGAGGGCGAGTGCAAGTCCCGGCTGCTCGGCTTCAGACCCAGCTCCCTGCTAACGCGCCCGGGAAAGCAGTGAGGACAGCCCCTGCCACCCACAGGGGAGACCCAGAGGGAGTTCCAGCTCCTTGCTTTGGCCTGGTCCAGGCTTGGCTGTTGTACACATTTGGGGAATGAACCAGCAGATGGAAGAGTGCTCTGTCTCTCTCTCTCTCTCTGTCTCCTCTCTGCTAACTCTGCCTTTCAAATAAATAAATCTTTCTTTGAACTGCATAATTAAAATTGATGAATTTAATTGAATATACATTTTTTTTCAATAAATCTGAATCTTACTAAGTATATACACACAAAAATAAACTCGGGGTGGGTGCATCATAGGCCTGAATGGAGAAGCTGAACCATAAAACTCTCAGAAGAAAATATAGGAGTCAATTTTAATGATCTTGGGTTAGGCAAAGATTTCTTAGATAAGATATCAGAGGGGCCAGCACTGTGGCGCAGCGGGTTAACGCCCTGGCCTGAAGCATCGGCATCCCATATGGGCGCCGGTTTGAAAGCCGGCTGCTCCACTCCCTATCCAGCTCTCTGCTATAGCCTGGGAAGCAGTAGAAGATGGTCCAGGTCCTTGGGCCTCTGCAACCACATGAAAGACGCAAAGAAGTTCCTGGCTATTGGCTTCCAATCGGTGCAGCTCTGGCTGTTGCAGTCATTTGAGGAGTGAACCATCAGATGGAAGACTTCTCTCTCTGCCTCTCCTCTCTCTGTGTAACTCAGACTTTCAAATAAATAAATCCTAAAAAAAAAAAAAAAAAAGATATCAGAACTCTACATGAGAAGAGAGAAGATGAGGGGTAGGTATTGTGGTGCAGAGGGTTAAGCTGCTGCATGGGGCACCTGCATCCCATACCAGAGTGCCTGGTTCAAGTCCTCTCTCCCCTTGCCATCCAGCTTCCCGCCGCTGCACACCCTGGGAGGCAGCAAATGATGGCTCAAGTACTTGGGTTCCTGCCAGTTGCAGCCCTCCTGGCTTTGGCGTGGTTTAGCCTTGAATGTGATGGACATTTTGGGAGTGAACTAGCAGGTGGGAGCTCTCTGTCTCTCTGTCACTGTTTCTGATTCTGTGTCTGTATCTCTCTTTCTGCCTAATTACTTAATTAATTAGAAGATATCTTTGTGGTAGGCATTGTGGCACAGCAGGTTAAGCCACTGCATTACTTGTTGGAGTACCTGCTTCAAGTTCAGCTCCTCCACACTTCCAATCCAGCTTCCCGCTGATGGCCCAAGTGCTTGGATTCCTGCCACTCAGGTGGGAGACCAGGAGGGCACTCTGGGCTCCTGGCTTCAGCCTGGCCCGGCCCAGGTTGTTGTGGGTATTTGGTGAGGGAAGCAGTGGATGGAAGAACTTTCTCTCTTTCTCCCTCTGTGTCATTCTGCCTTTCAAATATTAAAAATAAAATAAACATGAAAATATAGAGTAGCTGAACAAGTCGGATTCATCAAGATTTAAAATGTTTTTGTTTCAAGGGACGCCACCAAGAAAGTGAAAATACAATCCACAGACTAGGAGAAAAATGTCCACAAATCATGGAGCTGATAACTGATGTGCATCTAGAACACAAAAAGAATCCTTACCTCTCAATTTTAACATGAGGAAAAGACCTGGGTAGACATTTCTCCCAAGAAGATCCACATGCTCGATGAGCCACCCGTGGGAATTCAGTAGTATTGGCCATTACAGAAATGTGTTGCACCAAGACCCTCTTTCACATCACCAGAGTGGCTACAATCAAAGAGAGACAGTAACGAGTGTCGGCAAGGATGTGGAACAAATAGAATCCCCACACATGGCTGGAGGGAAGGTAGAATGGTACAGCCTTTTTGGAAAACAGTTTGATGCATCCTCAAAATATTAAACAGAGAGTTACCCCATGATCCAGTGACTTCACTTCTAAGTATTACTTAAGGGAAATGAAAAGCTATGTCCGCCGACGCTTTGGAGCAGCAGGTTAAAGGCCCACCCTACAGAGCCGGCATCCTCTATGGGCGCCTGTTCAAGTCCCAGCTCCTCCACTTCCTATCCAGCTCTCTGCTATGGCCTGGGAAAGCAGTGGAAGATGGCTCAAGTTCTTGGGCCCCTGTACCTGCGTGGGAGACCCAGAAGAAGCTCCTGGCACTTGGCTTTGGATCAGTTCAGCTCTGACCATTGTCGTCATCTGGGGAGTAAGCCAGCGTATGGAAGACCTCTTTCCCTCTCTCTCTCTCTCTCTCTCACTCTCGCTCTAGCTCTAGGTCTCCCAGTAACTCTGTCTTTCAAATAAATAATAAATCTTGAAAACAGAAAAGCTATGTCCACACAAAACTCTTGTATACAAATATTCATAACAGCGGTATCCATAACATTAAAATAGTGGAAACAGCTTTTGCTGCCTAAGCTGGCATCATGGGTCACATGCATGCTCTTGGGATGGACCAGACCTGCAATAGGCTGCAAAGGCCTGACTGCTTCACAATTCCCTGTGATCCTGAAGGATGCCTGTGGCATTGCCAAACAAGCACCAAAAATGTCCTATCATGTGACTCCACGGCAAATCCACAGGTCCAGAGTCGGGTAGTGGCTACCCAGAGTGAAGAGGGTACGGAAATAGAGCATGGTTGCTGAGAGGTATAGAGTTTCTTTTTCGGGTGAGAAAAATGTTCTAAAATTGATTGTGATGGGGAGGGGGGAGGAAGGAGGCAGGGTGATGGGTACCAAAACACAGACAGAAGTAACAAGTTCTGGGGTCCCATAGCTCAGCGGGATGACCTTGGTTTACAATAACATCTGGTATTCTGTATGAAGAACTGAGAGAGAGGAGCTGGTAGGTTCCAAACTCAGAGAGAAGATAGGAGATGGAAAGGCTGGTGGTCTCGTGAGATTGGTTTCCTCAGTATATATGTAAGATGCTGCACTGTTGTCCACAAAACTGTGCAAGTATTCCATGCGATCACAAAATGTTTTAAATAAAAAATTGATGGTGATGAGGTTGTACAACTCAGTAATGTACTAAAAATCACTAAATTATCGACTTAAAATTATTTATTCATTTATTCAGAGAGAGGGTCAGAGAGATCTTCCATCCACTGGTTTACTTCCAAAATGGCGCCAAGAACTGGGGCTCTGCCAGGTTAAAGCCGGGAGAGTGGAGCTTCATTTGGGTCTTCTACATGGGTGGCAGGTACTCGAGTACCTCAGCTATCACCTGCTGCTTCCTGGGGTCTGCATTAGTCAGCTGGGATTGGAAGCAGAGCTGGGATTAGAACCCAGGGGCTCTGAGATGTAGGTGTCCCAAGTGGTGCCTTAACTGCTGTACCAAACTGGACACCTTCTATGGATAAAATTCATGATGTGTAAACTATATTAGCAGGAGGAGGCATGAGGTGCAGAGGTAAAACCACCACTTGGGATGACAGCATACTGTACTGGAGTGCCAACTCGAGTTCTGGCTACTCTGCTTCTGATCCAGCTTCTTGCTAATGCTCCTGGGAGGCAGCAAATGGTGGGCCAAGCACTTGGACTCCTGCCACCCACATGGGAGATCCAGATGGAGTTCTGGACTCCTGGCTTCAGCCTGGTCCAGCCCTGTATGTTGTGGATACTTGGGGAATGAACTAGCAATGGAAGATCTCATTCCCTCTCTCTGTCTCTCTGCCTTTTTTTTTTTTTTTAAGATTTTATTTATTTATTTGAGAGGTGGAGTTTCAGAGAGAGGGAGAGACAGAAAAAAAGGTCTTTATTCCACTGGTTCACTCCCCAGCTGGCCACAGGAAATTATTCCGGGTCTCCCCTGCAGGTACAGGGGCCCAAGGACTTGGGCCATCTTCTACTGCTTTCCCAGGCCACAGCAGAGAGCTGGATTGGAAGAGAAGCAGCTGGAACTCGAACCAGTGCCCATATGAGATGCTGTTGCCAAAGGCAGAGGCTTAGCCCACTGTGCCAGGCACCAGCCCTTGTCTCTTTGCCTTTTAAATAAATTGTTTTAAAAAAGTTCCCATTTTCCAAAATTCATCAAATTGTAAATCTGAAAAAGGGCACATTTTACTATATGTAAATTATACCTCAATTTTTAAAAAATATGCAACCCCCTCCCAGTACAAGGCAACTTAACAAGCTCCTGGAAAAAACAGAATTAAAAGATCATTATTTGGGGCCGGCGCCGTGGCTCAATAGGCTAATCCTCCACCTTGCGGCGCCGGCACACCGGGTTCTAGTCCCGGTCAGGGCGCCGGATTCTGTCCCGGTTGCCCCTCTTCCAGGCCAGCTCTCTGCTATGGCCAGGGAGTGCAGTGGAGGATGGCCCAGGTGCTTGGGCCCTGCACCCCATGGGAGACCAGGAAAAGCACCTGGCTCCTGGCTCCTGCCATCGGATCAGCGCGGTGCGCCGGCTGCAGCGGCGGCCATTGGAGGGTGAACCAACGGCAAAAGGAAGACCTTTCTCTCTCTGTCTCTCTATCTCACTGTCCACTCTGCCTGTCAAAAATAAAAAAAAAAAAAAAAAAAAAAAATTGTTAAAAAAAAAAAAAAAGATCATTATTTGGGACAAAAATTTGTTTAAATCTATCCAGAGTTTTATTTTAAAGATTTATTTATTTATTTACTTGAAAGGCAGAGTGACAGAGAAGGAGAGCTGTCTTCCATTTATTGATTCACTACCCACATGGCTGAAATGGTCACGGCTGGGCCAGGCCATAGCCAGGAGCCTGGAGCTTCATCTGGGTCTCCCATGTGGATACAAGGATCCAAGCAAGCACTTGTGCCATCTTCTGCTGCGTTCCCAGGTCATTAGTAGGGAGCTGGATCAGAAGTGGACCAGCTGGACGTCATGAATAAGAGTGCCAATAGTGAAATCAACAATGGGAGTCACTGGGTGCATGCTCCCCACGTAGGATCTCTGTCCTTAATGTGTTCTACTATGAAACTTAAAAAACAACACTACTAGTCGAACAATACCCTATACCTTGTGCGGTTGTGTGAGTCAACCTGTTGAAATCCTTGCTTAGTATATACTAAGTTGATCCTCAGTATATGAAGGTAATTGAAAATGAAACTCGATGAAGGGCGGGATGGGAGAGGGAGTGGGAGAGGGGAGGGCCACAACAATACAAAAGTTGCACTTTGTAAATTCACATTTATTAAATAAAAAATAACTATATAACAAACAAAAAAAGAAAAAGAAAAAAAGAACTTAATACTCTACCCTTGTAGTATTTTTTTATGTTCTACTTAAAACTATGGGTTGAACTCTGTAATTAATACACAATTACTCTTAGGTGTTTAATTAATGCTATAACTAGTACTCGAATAGTATTTTACACTTTGTGTTTCTGTGTGGGTGCAAACTGTTGAAATCTCTACTTAATATATGCTAAATTGATATTCTGTATATAAAGATAATTGAAAATTAATCTTGATGTGAATGGAAGGGGAGAGAGAGTGGGAGAGGGGAGTGTTGTGGGTGGGAGGGAAGCTATGGGGGGGGGAAGCTATTGTAATCCATAAACTGTACTTTGGAAATTTATGTTCATTAAATAAAATAAAATATAAATATTAAAAAAAAGAAATGGACCAGCTGGGACTCAAATTGGTACCCATATGGGATGCCACTGTTACAGGAGGCAGCTTCACCCATTATGCCTCAACATTGGCTCTACCAACCCATTCTGAACTTCCAAAACTGTTGGTTGACTTTGGCTACTGCTGATGAGCAATATTGTCAATGTATGACAAACCTGTGACGTTCATAGCAATAAGTGTCTTTTTAATTTTATTCACCATAACTGCAATTACATACTTAAAAAAAGCAGGACCAGCGCTGGGGCATAGCGGGTAATGCCCCCTGTAGTGCCAGCATCCCATATCAGTGCCGGTTCAAGTCCTGGCTGCTCCACTTCTGATCCAGCTCCCTGCTAATGCACCTGGAAAAGCAGTGGAGGATGGCCCAAGTCCTTGGGCCGCTGCACCTGCATGGGGGACCCAGAAGAAGCTCCTGGCTCCTGGCTTCAGACTGGCTCAGCTCTGGCCATTTGCAGCCATTTGGGAAGTGAACCAGCAGATAGAAGATTTCTCTCTGTGTGTAACTCTGCCTTTCAAATAAAATAAATAAATCTTTAAAAAAAAATGCAGGGGAAATAGGGCCAGACACACCGTGACCACTGTGTGCAGGCAGTGGGGAGCTGCACACCCCGCAGTGGGGCTCCGAGGAAGGGCAGGCTCAGAGCATGGGAGGCCAAAGAGCTCAGGCACACAGAGCTCTTGTCTGCTCATATCGCACCCCTACGAGGGGGACGCTGCTGTCACTACCCCCATTATACAGATGAGGAAACTGAGAAACACAGGGCAGTGGAAGTGGAGAAACCTGCGGTTTGGCTTGAGTTTTGTCACTGTCCCTTATTTCTTCACCTTTGAACCCAGGGTGTGGGAAGGATGACATCTGAGAGTGGTTCCTGAGCAGGGCTCAGCTGTCAGTCATGGCCACCAGCCCGCCCTCCCGGGGTGGGGGTGGGGAGGAGGAACAGAGCTGCAGACGCTTGACTGCTCGCTGGGGCGAGTCCAAGTCTGGAAGGGCACCACCAAGAAGAAATTTCCATGGCCCTTCCCCCAGCGAGGGATTTTCCACTCTGCCTGGGCAGATGTGGTTCTCAGTGTTCCCAGAGCAGGGCTGTGGCAGGCTCAGCCCAGCCCTCGAAGGCGTGGAGGGCCTGGACCTGCTTCCTGCCCCAGGAAAGGGGCAAGTTTGCTGTGGG